CCTCAAAAGAATAAGAAAATCAAACTCATCTGTATAAAGCAATTATTCATTTATATTTATTGAACAAAAGCAAAAAATAAGTACTGAATAATTAGAATTAGGGAGGTATTATTTTAAAAAATTCTGTTCTTTTATTTCCCTGCCAACCCATAAAATCTTACATATCACTTATCAAGTGATCTGAATTGAACCATAGGCTGCTAGAGCTGAAAGGGACATTAAATCTTTTACGGTATTCTTATTTTAAAAGGAAAACATAAAGAATTTAAAAAAAGAAAAGGAAAAAAAAGGCCAGCTAAGAGGGCTCTCTTGGGCTTAAGTGAAGGTAAAATCATCCATGATAAAGATAGCAGGAACTTCTATGTCCTTTGTGTAGAAAGGACAACAAAAGTATGAGACGTAAAAAAATTCAAAGGCAAAATATTTACCATACATATGGAGGAAGAAGAGGACCTCACACATAAATTATGTCAATGCAAATCTCTTCCGAAAAGTTTTGAATATTACCACCAAACAGAAAAATTATTAATATTTTTTTAACCAGTGATAAACCATTACTTAACTCACAAATTATTTAAAATTTATACAACCTGTAAGGACCCTTCCAACTGTTAAGATCCCATAATTCTGTAAAAGCAGAAGCATGACTTTCCCATAGAAAGTTAATGTACAGTAAGAAAGAGACAGAGTTAACCTATAAGATAATTAAGTAAACTTGAAAGACATATTATGTTCCATTTGATCATCTTCAAATATTTTTTACTAACAGATTCAGCCTAAAATCTAAAAAGAGTATTCTAGGTTATCTCCTGAATTAAAAAATAAATAAAATGAACATAATACTTCTTTAATCTAACTTGCTGCATCTGAAAACTTATGAACTCTAGCTTATATAGATTGTACTTTTGTCCAGTCTGCATATCATTTTACAAATAAATTTTAAAATTTCATGTCATGTTCAGTAACATTCCAAAGACCACAATCATTTAAAAGACTGCCAACAATTTTAGTTTTCAGCTGGTCCCAGAAGATCTTAAGATGAACTAGGCAATATACATGAAGGTTCCATAACCTTCAGTTCCAATATCTATAGACTTTATGAATTAATTTTTTAAAATATTAAATGGCAGAACCAAATCTACCAGCTTTGTGTTACTGCAGTGAATTATATAGGCACCCTACTTCTTCCCATTATCTTCTCATCACTTATTGCTCATTAATACTTCTGAGAATGCAGAGAAAAAAGAATCAATTTGCTAATTATCAACTTTTATTTTTAAGGCAGCTGTTTACAGGGCTTTAAATTAGATTTCTGGATTGCTTGAGTAAATTGTCCATGCCTTCCCAGTCTATCATCAAAGCTAAGATAAGAATTAGTTTCACCAAGATTTGGACCCGATATTTGTTAAACATTAAGTAGGAAAAAAATAATTTAATGTTAAGGAAAAACAATGGGGATTCTCTTGGGACCCTCAGAGTTGGACTCCTAAAACATTTATTATCCTAACAGGAGCCATGGGAAGAGACAGACTTCTATTAAGTAGTTACATACACTTAAAGTCGCATGGCAAATACTGGTCTATGAAAAATGTCGGGAAAAACCAGAAGGTAAAATCCGGAATGTTGAATGGATGTGTACCAAGTAGCAAGTAACCTTATAAGAAGATGGTCACTGATATAGCTAAAAAGAAAGGGCCATAGAGCAAACTGTGACCAGCTTATGTCAACAAGACACACAAAAGTATTTAAAAAAATAAAATCTGCATTTTTACTAAAAATGACTAGCTGGTATCGGGTTTTGTAGTGCAATAGCACCATTAAAGCAAGGGTACGCAGGTCAATCCCTTGCAAACTTACCTTGATTGGCCCAATGGAAACAGAAGGCCCCAGAAAAGAGAGAAGCATCTGGCAGTAGCAAATTGTTTTATTTTATCTTTCTGTGGAAAGAAACTAATTTTAAATAAGAACCAGAGCATTTAAAGAATAAATATTTTTTAAAGCTCATTATCTAGTTAGAGCAGCTCTACTAAGAAAACAAGTAGAGCTCCTTGCTGCTTAGAGATGGAAGGAAATAGAAGAGGAATCAGAGTTGTTTCTCCATCACCTAAGGAGTTTTAAAACTTGCATCATTCTAGATTAACAGAATAAATGGTTATTTAAAAAACTCCTATAAGCAAAATCGTTTGGGCCTGATGCCTTTGAATAAAGGTTTTTATACAAAGTTAAGGGCTATATTCCAAATTAAAAAATAAAAGCACTTGACATTAAGCCCTTCTACTCTTAAGTAAAAAGAGAAACACAGAGCAAGCTCCTTTCTCCACTACAATTTCACCAGTAACTTAAACCATCAAGGCTTAAACGATTATCAAAATAAACAGTATTATCTAGTAGAAAGACCATACTTGATAGACTGGCTTTCCAAAATATTTTGTTAGCCTAAATATTTAGTGATTGAGATACACAAATGGAAAGGACCCAGCCACCAAACTAATTTGAAATAAGAACAAGCGTATTCAAAGGATATTTTTCAAAGATCATTATCTAGTTAGAGCAGCTCTACTAAGAAATATTATAGAGCCTAACAGGGCATAACATTATTCACGGTAACTGAAACTGTTACCTTTATTGAATGCTTCTCTAGGAACTCAGCTCTATTGAATTCAGAGTCAGCATTAAAATCTTTTAATCCAAATCACTCCCACAAAATGTCCATTTACAATTTATGCTGCAGATAGAAGGGACAGCTCAAAAAGCAGGAGTGCAGAAGCAATAAGCATTAAAAAAAAAAACACCAACAAAATAGTGTAAGTGGAAAATAAACTACCTATATGGCACTGTCCTATAAAGAATCAAATTAGAGTAGAATCTCCCCACTTCCATCCCGACCACACACACACCCACACACACGAGGAAACTACTACAGAAATAAAAGTCATTCTAAGCCAAAAACCTAAACAACTGTAATTTTCAGTTTCAATGCATTTACATAGTCCGCCGACATAAATTATGTTGATCTATCAGATAATATTTACCCTTAGGACATTAACTTCAATTGACATACTTGGGGAGAAAAAGTTATTAAACTAAAAAAAAAAAATCTACGTTTACAATGTTACTTTAAAGTTAAAAAAAAAAAAGTTTTGTTGCAGTAGAAAGTCGATCTTTTATACAGAAGACTTTTCATTATACTCAAAATGGTTAGTACCATGATTCCAAATTTCACTTATTTGAAAACATTATTTTGGTATAAACTAATCCTTACATAACTATAAGTACAGACCCAGATTTTGAAATCTTGGTACAATAATACCATAGCAAAAATTAAAAAACAAAACAAAACAAAACAATTCTTACTTGTCCCATTGGCGGTCCTCCCATTGGGGGCATCATTTGCGGCATCATTCCATGAGGTACAGGAGGCATATTTGCTCTCTGACCCATAGGGTGCATTCCCATTGGGGCATAATGCATGCCAGGGTGCCCCATCTGAAAGATAAAGACAATTAAAAAATTAGTAAGTAACAATAAATGCTTCTCAAAAATTTGATTTCAACAAACCAGTTATGTACAATGATATACTATTAGGCTAATGTGTGACTTAATTATTGGGTTTATACTTTCTTGTCTTAAAATACGCTACACCAATATTTATAATGAGCTTTAAACTAACCAAATTCTTGAACAAAATGTAAAAAATTAAAATCATCACTGAACAGCTAGTTTTAAGCATGCTGACTTAATCAGTTACTTACTTGCTAAAGTCAGAAATATATGTGAAAACCGCAATTGTCTATATCACAGATATTAGATAGACAACTATTGTTTTTACAAAGCTATTCTTAAATGTTTCTAAACTAATTTTAAGTCTTAAAACGCTGAATTTACCAAATTAACTTAGATGAGAGCTGGTCTTATAAAATACAAACAGTATGGGTACCCAGAGACACCTCACTCTTAAGAAATATAGTAAAAACATAATATTTATACGAGTAAAATTACTTCTGCCAAAAAAAATCTTTTTATTCCAACTGAGGTCTGTCATTCAAACACTAAATACAAACAACTAATTCATCCACTTTAACATGCTTTTATAAGACAACTACTTCCTTCATCTATCTGTCCATTGCTCCAGATCTCAAAACCAGGTAATTATCGCTTGGCAATTCTCCCAGCTGTCCACCCTACAGACACTACTACTACTGGTGAAAACAGATCTTGGAGCCTCTTCGAAAGCCTACACAATCTCGTCTCCGCCTCCCTCTCCCTCTTAAATCGGGCCTACATCTCGGAGACGCTCACCCCGCTCCGGGCCCAGCACCTCTAAGCCAAGCCCACTGGAAACTTCCAGGGTCCCACATCCTTCCTTTGTGCATCCCCGCCCTCCATTTCTCTCCCCGTAACATATCCCACCAACTCGAGCTCTTCCTTCGTCCAACTCTTATCTTCTCCTTTTGGAGAAAGCTTCCTGTCTCTGACTCCGTTTTTCATTGTGCCGCCTTCCCCCTGCCACACTGATCCCTTACCGAGGGCCGTCTCCTCAGGAAGCCGTCAGCAGAGACCCAAGAGCTGGAGCAGAGGCTTGAGCCGGACAATCTCCGCTCCCCGTCCCCAGCACCCCGCGCGGGAGGATGGCTCTCCATTTCACTCACCATGAGGCCTCCACGTTCGGCTCCCGTCCCCGGCCTCATCGTCTGGCTCAGACTGCTCCGCCGGCGGCCACTGCCGCTGCATATACCAACAAGAAGCGATCTGAGTGGCTGGCGCCCGCTTGGGCTAAAGGTTAAAGGCTGCCCCGCGCTATGGGGCGGGATCAGCGGGGCCAATAAGCTAACAGGCTTCCCCGCTGTCCAATCAGAGTGCGATGCCGACACGCAGCTCTGCGGCGATTCGCCCCCAGCCTCAGCCTCACTCGGCGTCGCCTGCATGGAGGGGGGGGAGGGGGACGGAGGAAGTTTCTGCGCCGAGTCCTCTGCCGGAAAAACTCCACCAACTTCCCCCCAGGAAGGGAAGACAACCGTGTCCCAGCTTCCCGAGCTTAGACCGCCTCACCCCGTAGGGGGTGGGGCAGTGGGGGCCTGCCACTCTCACCTCCCCTGCCCAAGTTTCGTACGCTCCACAAACCTGAGGCCGCCACGGGGTAGAGGGGTGGGTTACGGTGGGGTGGGTGGGGGTGGGGTACGCAGCTTCTAGCGTTAGCGGTGGCCGGGGCCAAAGGCGCGCGCGCGTTGCTCGAGACGAAGGGGAGGGGTCGGAGAAGGCGAGAGGAGGGGTCCTGAGGCGAGGGCTCGAGCTTCGTACGCACCAGCTGGAGAGCGCGCGCCGGGGCGGAGGGGTAGGGGAAGGAGGCGTGTCGAACTGCGCGGAGGGAAGTTGTGGTAGGGGCGGGGAGAACAATGCGAAAGGCAATGAGGAATGGGCACTTAAGGCGAGGCGAGAGCACCGGCCAGTGAGCTGCCGTTAGTGAGGGAAGCCGGGGAAGAATGCGAGCTTGGAGGACAAGGGAGAAAGCAAATAGGTTTGGGAATGTGAATCAGGTGCAAGGGCGGGCGCTAGGACCGGGTGTCAGGAAGATGCAGCTTTGGGGTTGCCGGGGCGCGCTCTTGCCTGGAGGTGACGCGGCGGTGGCGGAGGTCTTTGGCCGAGACGAAGCACGGTAGGGAGAGAAGACTCGGCTGCCTTCAGCCTTGGCTTGCCTCTCTCCGCGAGCTTCCCTGCTCCCCTTCTCTCCTACTCGCCAGAGGTCGTGCTCTAGTCCAGGGGCGCTCAGCCTCTCCTTGGGCCTCACAGCACTTTCTTTGCCCCACCGCGCGCCCTGGCGCACCCCTGCGCGTGGGGGCCGTGTGGTGGAGGCTGTAGGGTGGCCTGGCCGCTGATTGGCTGCTGCGGGGGCGGGGCGGGGCGGGTTGGAGTCGCTCGACCTCCGCGCGTCTTACTGTCTTTCCCGCCATGTCGTTCGTGGAGAGTGGGAGTCGCTCCGCTCTTCTGCGCCGCCCGCTCGGCACCCCTGTTCCTTTCTCTCGACCACGGTTTTCCGTCTTCACTCAAGGGGACAGTTGGGGTGAAGGGGAAGTCGACGAGGAGGAGGAATGCGACCAGGTAGCCCGCAACCTGCGAGCAGAGTTCTCGGCCGGGGCGTCGTCGGAGCCTAAAAAGGATCTGCTACTCCCGCCGGAGGGGGACGGGTCCCCAGTCCTGCCGGATAAGCGCAATGGCATATTCTCCGCGGATGCGCGCAACCGATCCCAGGCTCGGCGGTGGCCGGTCCAAATCCTCTCAATTCTCTGTTCGCTGTTGTTCGCCATCCTCCTCGCCTTCCTCCTCGCCATCGCCTATCTGATCGTAAAAGGTATTGCAGGTCAGGCCTTGAAAGTCTGTCCAGAATGAAGTTGAGCCTGGATGTGGCTCTAGCCTTCATTACACTTCTTCCCATCAAAGGTCGGCAAGCTGGTAGCCGCTTTCACCCAGAGTCCTCAACTGTACCTTTCTTTCCTTTCTTTCCTTTGTCCTCACTTTTCTCAAAGCTGGAGGGCCCTGGTGACCCATTTTAAGAAAGGATCTGGAGTTACAGTTATCTTAATGTCAAAGAACACTTGAAGTGAAATGTTGGCAAAATTCAAACGCACAAAAGCCATTAGAAGACAGTGCAAAGTGTGTATAATTAGAATAGGCTATACGTGTTCAAAAACTAATCCACAAATGGTTAAAGGTGTGTTATCCACCAGTTCTTCTGTACACATAATTCCCAAAGGTCAGGATTTCCATCTCACAGCCCAAACTTAGGCTTTTATTTGTGCTTTGTATTAGTTTTGCAACCGAGTGTAGCGATAAGTTCTATTGCAGGATCTGGTCAATTCTTTCTCTGGTTAATAGGTTTTTTCCCCTGTGTCTGAAGTTGACATATTGGCCAGATTGGAATAGAAAGAGATGTTCCTTGAAAGGTTTTCCAAAGCTTGTTCGGATATGTTGTATGGTTGGGTATTTTCTGTTACAATGGAATCAGACCTGAGTTTAAATCTCAGTTCTCACTCGTGTGTGACTTTGGCCAACTTACTGAAAAGAAAAATTAGAACAAAACTACCTTTGTTGTATGAAAAGAACCCATAACATTGTCATTCAAGTATTAGTTTTACTTTACTAAATAGAATTAAAGCTGTTTAACAGTTTTTATTATTTTGTCATTGCTTCCAAGACACTAATGGCTTCGGGTGGCCTCTTACAGCTCACCATGCTTAATTTTCATGCAGAAAACAGACTGGCAAGTTTAACTTATTCATACAACGGTATTGGTTGTAAACTCTGAATGTTAAATACATGGGTGCCAATACTTCATTCCTCTATCACTCCCCTCTCCTCTTCTTTTCCGTGCATCTCTAAGAGTTCTGTCTTGTAGGTAGTTTCTCTTTTGCTCTGATTGTCTTTTTATCATAAAGTCACAAAACCCGAAAGCCCATTGCAGAAGACGTTGAGCTGTGCTATTTAGTAGAATGGAGAAAGGAACTGAATTCAAAACTCATATGTCCTGTAATTTGCATTACATAAAAAGTCTTCACAACAACCCTCAGATCATCAGGCATTTCATTCTCATAGGAGCACCAGTCCCTGGTGCCAAAAAAGGTTGGGAACTGCTGCTCTAGATTACTCTCCACAACTCTACAATGTCTTGCCAGCCTTTGAGCTACTGTTCAAATTACAAAATCATCTTTTTTACCCAAGCCCTTTTTTGTATTTACAGAGTTACATGCTGAGAATTTGAAGAATGAAGATGATATAGACACTGGACTATTAGGTATGGATTTAATTGTCACTTGATTTGATTTTGAGCTTACTTGTTTTCCAGATCAGGTTTAAACTATACAAAATTTTGGATAAATTACTTGATATAGTTCCTTATACAATTGATTCAGTCTTATTCTTTTCAGTTAAATATATGTAGTAAGTTATTAGATTTTTTTTTTTACACGTGTAGGGTATGTGTGTATATGTATGTATGTATACCACACAATAAGTAGGATTGAATGTGTTTTGAACACAACTCTATGTGACAGAGACCCAGAGAATACTTAACATTTTCTAGTTACCTTCTGGAAAAGTCTCCCTGTACCTCTTCCCGGAAATTAAAAACAAAAAGACTTCCTTACAAACTTAGCAAAGATAATGTCTTAAGCAGACCTCAAAACTAAGTTCACATCTCCATATAATCCACTTGGTTTTTAAAAAATGCAAAAAGCATTGGACATACTTGCACAGGTTAATGATGACTAAGAAAGAGTCAGACCTGAGTTTCTGTAGAATGTTGAATGCTATATTTACAGGTTTCTAGTGAAAAACCAGGGGTTATTTAAACTGCATTTATTTCTCTCTGCCAAAATGATTTTGAAGAGTTCGGATCTTTGGTATATTTATCCTATTTGCTGTAAGTTATTTGAGTACTCACTCTGAATTGGAAAAAAAATGGTTGCGATCCTATCCTGCATGTTACCCCTTCCCCCAGTCTTAGCGAACTATTTAATCTCCCTCTTCAAGGCCTAATGATGATACAAAGTATAGTCTACCAGATTTTGCAGAAGGGGAAACTTTTATCTTCAAGTTACAAACAAATTAGAAAGTTCCCTGAAAACTTGTCTGTACTCTTCTCAGTTTCTTGCATAAGGAAATATGAATTTTTTTAGTTACTCATTTTATCAGTGTATATTATACTGTTTCATCTCTAAAAACAGCCAAGATTTGGAGGCTTTTATAGCATTTATTGATAGGTCAACTTTGATGCAGTAGAAACAATCATATGAACTAGGCATGAATTCTAACTTGCTATTTAAAAGTTGGCAAGAATTCACATTTAATGAAAAGAATGAATAGCACTTGTCATGGCCCTGCTTGGTTTTCCACTTCCAGTTAGTCGTGTTGCTTTTAGTTGTACTTACTTGACAGCAAACAGGAAGATCATTATTTAAGTCTTTGCTAATGACATGAATTCACTTTCAAGATTCAGGAACATTCTGAGGAGTCAAGAGAAACTGCTATATCTTTAGGGCAAAAACCAAAAGCATCACTAAACAAATGCCTCAAAAAAGATCCTTTTTTTTTTTTTTTTGAACCAATGCTCCAGTGGCCAAATGGAGAATATCTTCAACATTACCTAAAGGACTAATTCAATCAGTTGCATTAATGTCCTGGGGGTTAATTTTAAAGTTAGTCTAATTTATAGCAAATACACATTATAACAGGTGTGATAGGGAATGTTTTTCTCTAGCAAGATAATAGGAATCTTAAAAATCTGTTTCACAGATGCAGTGCCAAAATGATTAAGCTTTTACAAGGTTGAGGTGACTGAGGTAACACTTGCACTTATATTGTTCTAAGCTGGAATGCTCACCTGTTGGGAGAAAAATACAAATTAATGTCTTGACAGAATAATGTTTTGAATTGACAACTTACCTCTGGTTAAAAATGCACTTGAGACAGCTGATAGTTGTAAAGAATAGACCAGTTGTTTCTAAATCTTTGACTTGCATGCAAATCAGCCCTGGGTTGATTAACTTAGATATCAGAAAGATTGCACATTAGCTTACACCGTAGGAAATGCCTGTGAAATTATATCCTTACCTTTTTATAGTAAATATAAAAGTTTTCACATGAAGAAACCAGAATCTTTAATAAAAACTTGAATTTGTTCATTGTGCAGAAAAAGCAGAATGCGGCCTTTTATCAGATGATACTGACTTTGTTGTATTTTATTGTATTAATTTTACCTTATTTACTGGAAACCTCATAGCTAAATGTATTATTTGATTGTTTTGTGTATTATCCATTGTTTTTTTGTCACAATTAACTATTCACCATACATGTTATCTCTGTATTTTAATGACTCATGTTTAAATTTTATTGCAAACTGCCACAATTCTTTGAAAGTAGTTAGCCTTTAGAAACAAATAATGTGAGCACAGTAGCTACCACGAAAGAGTTCTCTCTAGACAGATAAAAATTTTACATACTGCAAATTTTTTTTTTTTAATCGCAATTTAATTCTAGTCTAAAATTGGTACAGCTCAGTAAGAGCAGATTATAGTAATGATTTTCCTTGGTATGTGTAAGAATCACTTAGACTTTCTTAGGAAAAGCACCTCTAGATTTCATTTCAGCCCAGGATGGGGCCCAGTAATCTTCCTTTTTTTTATAGGTAATGCTGATGCACCACAGTTGGAGAAGTACCTTTGTAGGGCCAGAATCTCATTTTTTAAAAATGGGTTAAGAGTAAAAATCCTTCAGAGTTGACTAATTGCCAACATACTAATAAGAAACAATATATAAACCAAAAGGCCGGTTAAGAAACCTAATTTCCAAAGGTGCTAAGACTGCCATTGTCTTGTCATTTTTGTTTCTCTGACGGAAATATTTGAGGAAGCCCTATTTATAGTTTTTTCCCCCCAAAGATTCTTAATGAACATGGTATCCGTGCATTTGGGGGGTTAATTGATCCTAATGTCTAATAGAATTAGGCTATCGTAATGCTTATATTTACTAGTGAGGCAGTCTAACCAGAGAGGTGTTATTGAAACTGTCAGCTAGTTTGAGAACTCTACCGTAAGCCTGTTTTTCAGAGAGATTCATAAAATAAAACAAGTTTATTTAGTTAAAATCACATTCCAGTCATTCCTCATAAAGGTTATTCTCTAGCCAAATTGATTACACTAATTACATACAACAGTGTATTGCTTCATTTATACACATTGGCTTTTGCATCTTTCACATTTTCTAAATTTTGTCACATTTAATGCTTTAGTCCTATTTTCAATTTTTGCATTTTTTTCCTAGTCTTAATATAAGATGTAATAAAATGATCTTTTATTTAAGGCAAACCCGAAATAAGTACATAAGGAAAATAGAATTGCCTTTAGCAGAAAATACTTAATCTAAGACTATTGTTATCAAATTAAACATTTCATAACATTTTGCTATTTTATTGTATTAGGAATCATTTTAATATTACTCATCAATTATTCTCAACTATGCTAAAAGGAATAAAATAATTGTGACAGAGACCTTATGTCAAGCAAAGCTGAAATTATTTACTACCTGGCTCTTTTCGGAAAAATATAGTACTTTCCTCCAGTCAGTCATTCAGCACAAAGGTCTTAACGACAGAAACACGAACTTTCCCCTTATGCTCAAAGGATATATGACAGTATTTTCATCTTTTATGATGCCCGTGTGGCCTAATTAATTCGCTACTGTTTGTTAGTGGATAGATGCTAAAGGCAGATGATCGAAAAGAAATGAAAAAAAAATCATTTGATCATTCAGATTTTTTATAAATCTAAAAATGAAAGTGATTTGCAAATTATGGAGGAAAGCGGGTCATTGCCCTCTCTTTATCAAAATAAGTTATGAAAGATTTAAAAACTTCCTTCAAGTATTATGTTTTGGTAATGCAAGTACAAAAAGGAAAGGCAAAACTAATGATAAGCTGTAACCAATTATCAGTATTTATAAGATGATTATGTTTCAGATTGATGTGTAGGCATGAAGTAAGCAATTATTTGCACTCAGAGAACATATCCTTTTCTAAATTTTGTCATATTTTTTACTTTAGTCTTACTAGTAGTATAGCTTTAAAACAAGGGAAATTCAGAATAAAAATTTGCATTTGCTGTTACTTGTTAAACTTTCTAACAAAGTTTTTTTCACCATCTTTTTATTCTTCTGTAAATTATTCCTCAAGACTTAAGTTGGATCCAGGTGACAGTGATGACAGTTTTCCCTAGTAAAATGAAGATTATAAACTTCAGAGGAGAATATAGGTTTAATAAGATTTGCCGTGAGTTAATTATTCAAACATGAGTGATGGGGTACATGGGGTTTTGTTGTACTCTTCCTCTACTTTCATGTATTTTTTGAAATTGGCCATAATAAAAGTTTTTTAAAAGTTTCCCATGTGAATTTGATGATTTAACATGGTTGGAAACTACAGATGTTATTTATTATTCAAGTTTCAGTAACTTCATCTGTCAGAATGTCCTCTTCCACTTATTTTTTTTTTCAGCAGAAAGGAGTATAGAATTGCTACATGTTGTCTTGCAGGTTGCAGACAGTTGGGTGGAGACCTTTACTAATGTATCTAGTATGCACCCACTGTGTGGTCAGGTGGCTGGCAGGGGAGGAAAGACCCCTTTCCTCTGATTCTGCACTTAAAGATAATAAGTTTGAAGATCCAAGGCTGTCCAGCTTTCTGTGTTGACATGTAGAGAAACACAGTGCTCAGAGGATTTGAAGACTTGGGCTATTGATAGAATGTGATTTAGTTTAGAGAGAACACTAAATTATTTATATTTCTATCATCCTCCTAAGTTAGAATACTTTGGAATCTGATAAAGTTAGAAAAATTCGCTTGCATAAACATTCAAAAATTACTGATCAGTTTCATGCATGAGTACATCTAAACTTTCATTAGTAGTCAGCTGGTTATAGGTTTTACAGCTTTTAAAATTAGTGAAATGTTAATTTAATTTTCATTTGTAATTTTCATAAATCAATTATATAAGTAATATAGTTTCACTAGGAAAAAAATCCAACAGTTAAAGGTTGCCAGTAATCTACTTGTGTATATTTTCAGATGTTTTTGTGTTCATTTACATATAGACATGATGATTTAAAATATGTAGTTTAGTCACTGTTGTAGAAAAAACAATTGGAATCATACATTTTCTGCTGCTCCACTGAAATGTCTTAGAGTTGATTCTGTATTACTATACATAGATGTACCTCATTCTTTTTCATTACTGTATTGTATTTCATAGTATACTAGTTTATTTAAACATTTCAAATGTCAGTCACTCTAAAATTAGACTTGGAAATTATCAGTGTGCTGTCACATTTAGTCCCATTATTATGGTAGGAATAATTTTTATGAAGATGTATAATTGGTTGTATAACAGTGTTTTAATAAGAAATTTTTCCCAGTATGGGAATATAGGAGGTTTTTGTTTTTGTTTTCTTTTCCCGGTTGTTTCTGCTTACATATACTATCTGTAAGCTTCTGCCCCCACACTGTGGACTTAATAAAACTTCTGAAAGTCACCTCATCCCTTTAAACTTGAAATTGTTAAATAAAATGAAAATATTTAGAACACATAATAATCTTTCTTTGCTGGAAGCTTTTATAGAAATACTGAAAGCTGCCAGCATATTTTTAGAAAACTAACTATACTTTGAAACCAAAATCACTTATTTTGAAAAATGGAATATACCAAACAAAATATACCAAATAAAAGAATACAAAACTCCAACAAAGGAATTGGAGTAGGAGTTTCCCACCTACTCCCATCTTTGCTTTGGGTGAAAACACTGAGTCCAAGAGACTTCAATGGGTGGAAAATGTGAATTTTCATCACTTTATCAATTGATGAAAATCGAACTATAGAGAAGAAAGAAGAATGTATGCACTTATTTAAAGGCTTATGTTCTTTGACATAGCAGTTCTCCAGAAATTTGTTACAGATATCCTTATGCAACCACATAATTAAGTACAAAAATGTTATTTGCTACATTGTTTTTATAGTGAAAAACTGAAATAATAAAAATATGCAATGGAATTGTGGCTATATGTACTGATATTAAAGGTCCCCAATATTGTTGTGTGAAAAAAGCAAAGTGTAGAATAGGACAATTTTTCTGATGAGAATCACATTTGTGGAAAATAAACTAAATATATATATATATATACATATTTATGTATTATTTGTTCACAGTTAGCTCCATATATTCTATGTTACTTAGACATTTATAAGTTAGAAAAGATGTACAACAAACGCTTAGCTGATTGCTTTTAGGAGTGGAATTGGTGAATTGGGGAACGAAGACTTTAATTTTTACATGCTTTTTTACCTTTTAAAAATTATGTTAACTCTTGGTAAAAGGGTTTACAAAACATTAGTAGAATTTTTAGCTCACAGTCTTGTTACAGTTTAATTATTGAGAGTTGTCAGCTTCTGTGGCTTTTTGCTTGTTCATAAATGAATTGAGTTATTTTCAGAAGCATTAGCACTTCCAGTACATTACAATGTACTGTTTTAGCCCTATCATTGTGACCTGACTATTATCAGTGGTGTGACTTGATTAGTTCAAATGAATATAAAATGTCCAAAGTGAGGCAGGCACTTAGATTGTATAATAGTAGTCATTTTTGAAAACTCAATAATGCTTTTGTCTTAAATTTGATAGACGTATTAAAGCACCTGAGTGAAAAAGCCTGATAGACTTTAGAAAGCCTCACGTTTTGTTACTTTTTAATGTTATTTTGTGTCTTTCTCATTTTTAGATACTTAGAAGTTTCCTTCATTCCACAGTACTCAAACAGATATTCATTTTTTAATTACCATCTTTGTTCTGCAGACTTATGTATTATGTTAAACTCAAAGTAGAATTGTCAGTTCTTTTTCTTCTTTAGAGGTATTCATCTAAATAATAACAAATAATAGCTATTTGGCACCGTAGTCACCCTTAAGTTGTGGTTGTACACTAAGCAATCTTACAGTTTCTATGATGGTCCCCTGTCTCACTGAGTTGGCAGGAAGGTTGTACCTCAGTCTTTAAAGTTTCAGTTTACCCAGTGCTAGGTCGGGTTAAAGTTGTAGAGGCTGGCACTATGCCAGGATACTGGGATAGGGTTGTAATCTAGTACTCATTTGCTGAAATGAGTTACTGCTAAAACATCTTGCATCCTGGTTAGGATGGCCTTTCAGATATAGCACCTTCCAGCCATCTGCTGTTTCTATGACCCACTCAGGACAGAGGCATCTACAAGTTTGGCACTGGGCCCACCTGCCAAGATGCTGTACACAGCTATTATCCCTGTCTAGTGTTGGGGGACCTTTTCTTGATGGCTGCCAGGAAAACCTAGCAGAACTATCCTCTCCCTATATATACACACAAGTGTAAACACACACAAATAACCTGCATTCTTCAAACCAGAGAACTCTGTCACCTTTAGAGAAATCCCTTATTCTCTTTCTCACTGTTTTGCACATTTTATCTATACCCCAGTCAACTCATTCTTGCTGTCTATTCAAAACATTTTGTGCTTATCAACCTCCTGCTTACATATATCCTCCTAGTTCCCTTAATTATTTTGTAACATGAAAACTGAAGAGGCATTCAGGCTAGTTCTTCTTTCTTCTTTGCCACATCCATCTGGGGCAATGAATGTGAAATACATTATCTCTTTAAAAGTGGGTAAAGGAAAGGAACTATCTGGAGAAAAAAAAATTAATCTTTCAAAAAATGCTTTGCCACAGTTTTTCTTCATGCTTCATTGCGCTGAGTTTTCTTCTAGCAGTTTTATCAGTCTATTAGTGGGCTTCAAATGGTTTATAAATAGTCCAGTGCATTTATTTCCTATGTGCTTCTTGCTAAAATGCATTTTTGGTTGTGCAATTTTGTGCAGCCAGGAAATTTGGTAATTCATAAGTTATTCTCTACTGTAGTCTTCTCAACCTTGCCTTCTTGTGCTACTGGGACAAGTAGTGGTGGCCTAGTAAACTCATAAGGAGGCAGTTTGTGTTTTTAAACACCTTCAAATTAATTTATTCCCTCTGTTGTTAACTGTGTCTATTTCCTTCATCCTTCCATTTGTCAACCCTTTCTCCTTCCTTTCCCTCCATATAGTATCATGCTTTGGCTTGATTTATTTGAGAAAATGCAGGTCAAATAAAATAAAATTTTTGATCCTAACTGAAAATAAAATTTTGGATCCTAACCCATTTATAAATTAGGAGTTAACTTTTGTTCATATACTGAGCAATGTTAAATAAACAGATTAAGTTTATCATTAAGTTCATACAAAAGGTGTAAAGAGTAGACACTCTAAAATTGATTCATATGTCAAAAGTGCGAGGTATGGAAAGAAAAGAACCACTTAGTGCAAAGTAATAAAAGAAGGCTAATTCACAAAGTCAAATGAAAGATGTTAAGGCTTTTTAACAGTGAAGTTTTTTAACCATTTTTTTCTATAGTTGGATTTTATAAAACTGAACATGAGTTAGATTCTTAAGTTGAATTTGAACTCTTTTCTACATATTAAATTATAATTGAATTAAAATATTCAGTGGTAGGATTTCTAGTTTTACTTTACACTTCTACATGGGCTAGCTTGTACTAAGCTCAAATCTGTTATCATTTATATATAATTCAGAAGTTAAGAAATACGCATGATCTGAACATGAGGATACTGGTTTAATTTAAATTGCTTTGGTGTTAATAATTTGAGTTTTTTCCCCTCTTCCCATTAAGGATTCTGGACTCTACTTATAATATCCCTAATTGCCGGATTCTCCTGCTGCAGCTTTTCTTGGACAGTGACTTACTTTGATTCTTTTGAACCAGGAATGTTTCCTCCTACTCCCCTTTCACCTGCCAGATTCAAGTAAGTATACTTGTTTCTTCTTGTCTCTTTTTTAACCCATTCTAACTGACGAAAATGCTAAAATAAATAGAAGCAAGAGGCTGCTTATTTAGGAGATATGTTGAGGCCCCAGTCTTTATAAAATACAGTGACGTAAGGTTTTTACCTTGGCTCAGCCTTTAGATATATGGAGAAGAATATTTTAAACTTCATATATAGATAATGTAATGGTTTTTAAAAAAATGAAATTCCAGAAATGATCCAAGAAGTAAGGTGGCTATTTGTCCTTTGGGGATGGAATTTCATTTAAAACAGTTTATGAAGGCTAAATCGATATCAGCATTGTGTAAGTTTTACTAGAGTCATGTATAAATGGTGAGATTTATAACAGCTTAATAATTGGATTGGACTTTCCCCTCATATTTAAAGTTTGTGTAATAATTAGCAAGCATTTATGGTACTCAATTTATATGTCTAGACCAGATGAGATTCATTTCATAGCAGTCTCTATTATCTGTGTTTCAAAAGTTTCAGTAGGCAATTTTCTAATTTAGTTTATTTATGCCAGGAAAGCTCAGGTTTTAAATATAAGTTTCCAAATAAAAGCATCTAAGACCTCTGCATTATACTACAAACTGAGGTGGGGTGGGGAAAAGATGAAGAGTAGAAAATTAATTGTTAAAGATATGTATGTTATCAGATTCATGTATTCTATTATAGTTGTTAACTACCAGCTCTAGCCCACCTAGACAGCTTGTAGAGATCAAATAAGAAAATCTGTTGAGAGGAACTCTGTAAATAACGAAGTTTAATATTAATGATACTTCCTGTCCTACCTTGTTTAAAAGTCTTCAGTGACTTTTCTGTTTTTTAAAATAAAGTCCATCTCCCAAGTATAGCTCAACAGTCCTCCCCTAGCTTTTACTCTACTCTACTTTTTCAGCTTCAGCTGTTTATCTGGTATACCCTACACTGTAGTCACATATCACATTACCTTGGCAACCCTAAAAAATCCCATCTAGTTTTGAGATGTCATGACTTTACTGTTGCTGCTCTTACATCTGTAATGTCTTTTCTCTCTCAGTTTTCTTCCATCACCACCAGAATTCGTAAGCCTTATAGATGTTGGAAGCTTTTGGAGTTAGAGAAAAGCATTTCAGTGTTCTCTTAAAGATATGGAATTCTGAGGGCATTTAAATAATTTCTTAAAATTATCTTTTCCCTTTTTATTAAACTAGAACCAGTAATGATGAACCTCAATTTTCAATGTGTTTAATAGTCATTTAATTTTAATATGAGATAGTGTCAGATCAGAAACTTAGATTACATGTTTGTTAATACATCCTAGAAAATAGTTTTGAAATATGTGCATTGTATGCACGCACATATATATTTGAATTCCTTTCAAAATAAAAGTAGTGATAAATTGTATGATAAATTAGCTATTATATATCTCAGGAGTCAAACTGCAATTTAAAATTATTATGTTTATATAAGCACAGTCCAAAAAAGGCATATGATAAATAGAATGATAGTTGATTACATAGTAACAGAAACCAGACCAAAAAATGGCATATAATATAGTGATAATTGGTGAAATTTTTATAGTGAAAACCGTGCCCTCTAGTGCTTGTAGAAAATAATGCAATGACTTCAGAAATGTCAGAAGTATATTCTCTATGTCACCAGTAGAGTGAGTGCTTGTACAGGGAAACAACTTCTCAACCTTTTGAGAAAGTTGAAATCTTCAAGCTTTATTTTCTAAGAAATCAGATTGATATATTTATTAATCTACAGCATCACACTTTTATAAAAATATTTTTATAAGAGGTTATGTATTCATTTATTACCTAAAATAAACTGATTTTAATACAAATATTTTCCCTGACTATATAAAAGTAATGTAAGCTCTTTGCTGAAAATTTAAAAAACAGAAAAATAATAGAAAAACTCATAGTCAGAGATAATGACTGCCAACATCTTGATGTATAGTTTTCCATTCTTTGCATATTTTAAAAAGTGAAATTGGAATCACTATAGACATATTGTTTTGTAATTTTTTATTCATTTTTTTCATTTTTTCTTTTTTTTGTAATTAATTTTTGCTTAACATTATTTTGAGACATATTTCTATTGTTTCTTTTGGATTTTTAATATTTTAAATATGCTTTAAATACAATCATATATATAAACTTATTTTTTAAAGGGAAATCTAATGTAAATGATAGCTACATTCTAAGAAAATGTATTAAATAGGGATCTATTTAACTAATTAGAAACTAAAAAACGGCAAGATAATTAGCACATCATAAAATGAAGAAGGTTTTCTCTTTATTTTTCCAAAGGTTAGGATTGTTATTAAAAATATTCCCTAATTCTGGCTTCATGAATATCAAACATGAAGAGTAAAATAATTATGTTTAATTGGTTTGTTTAAAAAGCAATCTTATGCTTTCCTTTAAAATAATGGGCTATTTTAACAAACTAATTAGAAATGGAAAAAAGTTGAGAAGACTGCTAACTGTGGCTATCAATTGTGTTTCTCTGGAAACATAAACTACCAAGGGAAGAAAAAATAACATTTATTGATATTTAGAGGATATTAGATGAAGCATTTAATGAAATCAGCAATTTGGATCAATAATTTAGTAGAGGAGTGGAGATTAGAAATAAAATCCATGTGTTCTTTTTTTTTCCATATTTCTTCTATATTTGTTAGATATTATCTTAATTCAGACTGCCATAACAAAGTACCAGGTGGCTTATAAACAACAAATTTATTATAGTTCTCAAGACTAGAGGTCCAGGATTGAGCAACCATGGTCAGGTTCTGGTGAGGATTATCTTCTGGATTGCAGATGGCCTTCTTACTATATCTTCACAAGTCGTTGAGTAGACAGAGGAAGCAAGGCTCTCATTCTGAGGGCTCTGTTCTCCTGACCTCATCTAATCCTAATTACTTCCTAAAGACCCCACCTCCTAATACTATCACATTGGAAGGTAAGGTTTTGACATGAATTGAGGGGTAGGGAGGCAAACATAATCCATAACAGATATAACTTAGAAACTTACACTTATTTACATAAGTACAAGACCTTAGGAAATACAAGATAGTTAAAGAACTTTGCAAGGTATGTTTTCAGACAAGTACTTAATGGACTTCACATAGCAGATTTTTAAGAAAAAATAGTTGTCATGTTGACTTTGCAAACTTTGCTGAGTTAAAAGGTACACGGCAGAGTCACATATCCAAACTTTTATTAGGAAGCAATCTTTTTGTATGTATATTTGGATCCTTTATACTTATAAATTATTTTCTTAGTTGTTTCTGAAAATCTGTTGCAGTGTTAAAAAACAAGAGGCAGAGGCAGCAACTTTAGAGTCCTTGGAGTACGTATCTAGGTATTTTCCACTTCTCACTACTTTAAATTTATTGTCCTGCTCTGCTGCACTACTTAATCTGCATATCCAGTTCACGTCTCATTAGTTTTCTCATGTTATTCATTAGGTTTGGTCAAAGATTTCCAAGCAGGCAAACATACCAGTGTGTATGTAATCAGTATTTCACATTGTGATGATCTCCTTTAATTATAGTTTCTAAGAGTTAATACATCTAAGTATGTGACTTACTCATGCAAAGATACTACATTTAGAGAGAACCCAGAACTTGAAAGAATCTTGGAGTTTTTTCTATTGGCTGGGCTGGTGGCAGTACTAGAACTTTTATTTAAGTCCTCCTGATTGGGGGGAAAGTTAGGTATGGATAGGAGATGTGCCTTGAAGCTTCATTTTTCCTATCTAACCCGTCTCCTCTGCATTATGAAATGAGTCAGCAGGAGGAATTTCACCAATTGAAACAGCATCTTTTTAATTGACAGTTAAAGGCACTCTCTGAGATTTTGCTATGGCAGTTTTCTCCATGCAATTTTGCCAAATCCAATCAAAATCTCACCTTAACATCTTGTCTTTGTTCTCTGCTTCAAACCGCTCTCATTTCACATTACCTGTGCACACGCCCCATCTAGTGGGCAGTGATGTAGCTGCAGGTTTTATAGTTACTCAGCTTGCTAAAAAAACCTCCATTCAATGATTCTAATAGGTTCCACCTACGGAAGAAGTGTTATAGCCTAGAAATTTAGTGAAAAAATGATAATATAAGTGGTGGGTCTAGCAAAAGCAAGTGTAGAAAAGCTCATTAATCTTGTAATTAAGAATCAAAATATTTAGTAACAATGGTATGAAAAATAGTGAAATAAGTCATTAAATTTGTCTACCTTATAGTACTTTTATGTAGATTCAGAGGTAAAGGACCATCATTTTTAAAGAAATTAAAGATGTCACTTAATTTCAATCAATAGTGGTAATTATAAGAGTCTTGTTGCTGGTGTAAAAAAATGCTCATTATATAGATCAAAGTTCAAATTTAATAGCATATTCTCCTATAACTTTCAAGCCAAGAAGTTAACTTTGTAGGGCTAGGACTATTATTTTGTAGTGGAAATACCCACAGGGACTTATTTCCAAGGAGGAAAATAATCAGTGTTTATATTTACAGTTATTAAAGATAGGCGTTAACTATATTATAGAAATCAAGTGCTACTAGAAATTTCAAATTTTAATCTTATGCTGGTCAAAGGTTATGTAAAAATAAGATTGCTGGTGAATGGATATCTGAATTCAAAGCTTGGGTTATTGAATCACTTGTTGAGAAACCGATTTTAAATAGTTTTGCCCTGTTGAGAAATATTGTAGAAATAGCATGTCTTGCAGTCATAGTGTTGTAAATTTTGGAGAATGTTTTATTTCTTCATAAATCCTCTGTTGACTTCTATTGTAAGAGATTTGTCATCTTGAATTTTACAGCTGAAGATGAGTCTTTTTGAGGATAGGATGAATTTTAAAAAGAATTATCTCAACCTTAAGCAAATTCTGTTTTCAGTTTAACAATTTTGAATATGTTTTTGCTATAGGAATATTTCAAAGAGACCTAAGCCCTCAAAATCATCTCTCAAGTAGCCATT